CAGGGTTTAATTTGGTTTTGTTTGTGTGTGTTTTTTTTTTACTCTCAAAGCCGTGATTCCCATTCACTTCCATTATAAGACTGTCAGACTGCAACAGTTTGAGTTAAAAATCTTTGTTTGTGTTCTACTGAAGAAACAAAGTCACATCTTGGATGCCCTGGGGGTAAGCAGATAAACATCAGATTTTCATTTTTGGGGGAACTATCCCTTTAAGTTTCTTCATGAAGGTTCGCTCTGCCAGTTTGCCAGATTTTCATGTCCGCGGTTTGAAGCGCCCCCGGAATGCGGTTTTTACCGAGGGACCCCTCGAAACGCGGTTAGTTAGGGGTAGTTTTGGGTAGCAGTTGGGAGGGTTTTGTTGTAAAAAACCTGGCAACCCTTTCCGTCAAGCAGGTAATGTTATTATTGCTAACATAGTGACTCATCGAATAATACATTGGCATCATCTGTATTAAAGAGAAAATAATTACTTCATCCAATGTTAAAGTGAATAAAATAGCCTTGGAGTTCCACAACTATTGACTTTGTTCTCTCTCAACAGACTCGTGTGTGTAGGTGATGTAAAAGAGGAAAGCAGGCATTTGGACCAAGTGAGGCAAGGGAGGGGAGACTCAAAATGTTTCTAAACTTAAAACGCATTTTTGCCCCGTTTGTGTTGTTTTACTACTTACACAATTATTTAAAGTATAAAACATTATTTACAATTCACAGACTGGGTTTTAATCATATTTTTAGGGGGAACAACCCTCAGCCCCCCACACACCCCTCCCCCCCGGGATTTCTGCCTATGCCAAAAGTCAATTATATTCAAAACAAAGAAGCAAAGGCATAGTTTGATGACGCCGTGACTGAGTGTGACAGATTCATGGGAGTTATTGTCTTCTTCATCCAGAAATTGTCTTCTTCATCTTCAATCAGAAATCATGTTTAGGGATGAGCATAGGCAGAAATTTGACTGCATTAGCATGGTTAACTTTCTTGTCTTTTAGCACTTTTAATGCATACAGGTGTACAAGAGGCTGATTGCCCAAGCATGCATTACAACAACAGAACAACACACACAAAACATTTTTATTTGGATAGCACTTCTCACAGTCAATGTTGTTTTAAAGTGGAATACCATTCCTTAATGTCCTAAGCAAGCCAAATGCAAAATAAATAGATTAATAATAACAATTTACGCCACAATGCAGTTGAATCCTTAATTCCGATTAGACAGTAGTTGTAATAGACAGTAGTTCCTTGACCAAACTACAGTTCCATATAATTTTTCCAAATTACTACTTGCTACATGGTCAGAGGAGAGCAAATGTTTGTAGAAAATCTTGCTGAACAACTTTTATAATTGTGTCTAATTCTGGATAAGCCGGATCTATATTTAAATTATGGTTTAAAAGACGCCTGTACAAACTGAAGTACAGGTGTGCAAATAGGAGGATTGAATTGAAGGAGTGGCAGGTTGCAATACAGTTTCAGGACTACAGTGCACACCAGATATTGTGATAGATTTAAAATATTTTCCTGCAAACATTACAAACGCAACACATGTGAAACAGCATAAGACAAAGGCAAAATTACAGCTTGTGGGATATTCAGTAAATTGGATGTTTTGAATACTGTTTTTGATCTAATTCGAATCATGTATTATCATTAGTTTTATTATGTTTAAAGTTTTCTCAAATGTACCATAATTATATAAGAAGTAGCTACATTTTTAATACATTCATGGCTAAAGAAATACATTATTACAAGTGTTACTGTTTGGGTTTATTATAAAAGTAGTGTGTGTTTTCGGTATTTTGAGGTAAATGCATAATAAGCATAACACATTTAATGAATTTTATGCTTAAAACAAGTAAACAAATTCTCCAAACAGAGAGAAAACACATTTTAATTGATGTCAAGAAACAGGTCTTATTTTCATACCATTTGCTTTTCAGGTAAATTAATGTTGTTTTAACGTTGTTAAACTAGTTTTTTTTTTTTTTTAACTAGAAAAAGACAGAGAAGATACCGAAATCCTAAAAACAGGATTTGACATTCATGATCCATAATCAAAACTGTACAATGTCTTTCAGTTAGATGTCTCTGTGGAAACATAACTCACTTGAATCATGTTTTTTAATCAAATTTGCAATCTACAAACTTTTTTTTTTCAAGAACAAAGGCTGTTAAAACCAGTTTGATCCAAAACTAACGAATACGAAATTTTTTTTTTCTTGTGAAACTCAACATGTTGATGTGGATATAAACTTTAACAAAAGTGCTACAAGTTTGGACGAACTTCAGCATTGTTTTTAGCAACATGAGAGAGGCGAATTATTTTCACTTGGCCTGAACTCATACTAATGTCCCGCCACAGATATTCAGGTGAAAGCAGTTTACTGGGTTTGTTATAAAGGAAATACTTGTTCAAGTGAGACTCCTCGTGCCATATCGCCTCAATGGAGTTTGCAATATCAATGTTCATCTGCTCCCGGCAGGTTTTGGTGAGATGATGTACGTCTTTCAATGAGCCGCCAAATGCAGCGCCAGTAAAATAATAATCACCCTCTCCATCTGGAATGTATGCTTGAGACTCTGGTCTACGCTCATATGTGAATATGAACCTTGGAACATTAAAGAACCAAGGATGTATCACACCTACCAGACGACCCAAAGACTCCACACCCCAACGACCATAGAACTTTGTATCTACGTCAAGGCAGAAAATATAGTTGGCCTCACTGGCCAGTTCATTCTCTATTAGTTTCTCCAGTATTTCCATCCTGCTCATACTGATGTCCTGCCATCTGTTCATACTTGGAACCTTCTTTACTGTCAGGTAACGTTCTTGACCTAGTTTTACATCAGGAACTTCCTCCGCTTGATCTGTAAACAGGTGGTAATGCACTCGAAATCCAACAAAGTAATGCTCCTCATAATTATTATTTTTTTTAATAAATAAATACCTTTATTAAGCAAGGGCAGTATCAAAATAACAGTAACAAACATATACATAACATATAAAAACTTTTTATATCTATATATATTTATCTATATCTTAAATCAGTGGTATACACAAAATATAAACAAAAGACCATTTTATTAGTAAAGTAGCTTGCATGTACAGTAAACACCTTGCCTTAGTAATTTTGTTGCTAGTTATACATTGACAAAATCTAAGGACTTTACAAAATCTTCCAAGAACACTATATTAACATAAAAGTTAATAAAAATAAAAAGAGAAAAATAATACAGAGAGAAAAGTATGTATTTTGAGAGTCTGAGAAGTATGTAACTTTGTTACTTTCCCAAAGCGAAGACAGTGGTCGCTATGGTGATGTTTTGTTGTTTGTAGATCGAGTCAATCACTGTGGAGTCAAAGGTTCCCTCCCAAACAATCGGGGCTAACCATGGTGTCACAGAAGCAACATCTGTCCGACTATAGTAAACACACACACACACAC